GGCTGGAAAACCGCCTGAAGGAAAAAGACCTGGGGGTACTGGCTGACAGCCGGCTGAATATGAGCCAGCAGTGTGCCCAGGTGGCCAAGGCGGCCAACGGCATCCTGGCTTGTATCAGGAATAGTGTGGCCAGCAGGAGCAGGGAAGTGAGCGTGCACTGGTGAGGCCACCCCTCGAATGCTGTGTTCAGTTTTGGGCCCCTCACTACAGGAAAGACATTGAGGTTCTGGAGCATGTCCAGAGAAGGACAGTGATGCTGGTGAGGGGGCTGGAGCACAAGTCCTATGAGGAGCAGCTGAGGGAACTGGGCTTACTTAGTCTGAAGAGGAGGCTGAGGGGAGGCCTTATCGCCTTCTACAACTGCCTGACAGGAGGTTGTAGTGAGGTGGGTGTTGGTCTCTTCTCCCAGGTAATGGGCGATAGGAGGAGGGGAAATGGCCTAGGTTGCACCAGGGGAGGTTTAGGTTGGACATTAGGAAAAAATTTTTCACCTAAAGGGTTGTCAGGCATTGGAACGGGCTGCCCAGGGAAGTGGCCAAGTCCCCATCCCTCATGGTATTTAAAAGACGGGTAGATGAGTTGGACTTGATGATCTTAAAGGTCTTTTCCAACCTAAATGATTCTGTGATTCTATTCTATGATCTATCACGGACACGGGCTACAGGGGTATGAACAGGAATAAACTGGGAGAGCAATCTGGCCTGGCGAATTGGCATGGAGCAGGTTCCTGCAGCACTGCTTGGCCACCTACTCCAGCAGCCAAGGAGAGGGGGGAACCACATGACTGGCTGGTGCCTCTGCCAACTCCACTGGAAAAAAAGAAAGTGAGGCCCTAAACTGAGCTCTTGTCACAGCTGGCAGCCTGTACCTAGCACAAAGATTTATTTCCAGATGACGAGGAAAGATAACGTGAGCTGTTCCTTTTCTCTGCATGGGGTTGTTTGGGGTTCTTTTTGCTTTTTAATCCCACAGAGGAGGAGGAAAGAGGACCAAAAAAGGAGGAATTCCGCATCTATCTGTTTTCTTACTTGGCTATCCATTTGAGTAATAGTTTGAAAATTACCAGTGTTCAATTATCCAGTTTTCAAACAGATGGCTAATTAAATCTTAATAGCATGAGCAGGCAAAATATTTTAAACACCATAAAACTCACAAACACTTGAGACATTTTGAATGCCATAGTCTGGAGGCAAGGTAAAGCCTAGATGAGGGGAGATCATGACCTGAAGCTTCCCACTTCTCTTGACTAATTAATATAGACAAATCTCATTAAAGCAAACTGTATTTTGAAACCCTCTTTAAACAGCAACGGCCTCAAAAAGAGCAGGTAGCTTCTTTCAGTTAATCCTACTTTTCTCAATTCTCTCCAGCAATTACACTTGAAAAAAGAACCAAGTAATTCTGCTACTGTCATCTCCGAGAGTCTGAATAAGTAACAGAGGTAAGAGGGAGCTTTTTATCACACTCAAGCAGAAGAAACGGGCTGTAATGTAGCAACACTGGAAGAAGAGGTAAGGGAATCATTCCAGTTTAAGTCAAAGGGAGAAGACTTTCATCCAGTACTGAATGTCCAGCTCTTAAATTTCTCTGGCACCTGATGGAATTCCAACATCTTCTTTCTTTCCTTATCAGACAAAACTTACTTGCGGTAGAGAATGACTTTCACATGCCAGAGACCACCTGCCATTCAGTATCAAGAACCTACAGCAAAGGACTTGGAAAAGTAAATCACGACGGCTGGTTCCAAACCCACACCTGATTTTCAGAAGCTACAGAGCCCACAGGTACAGTATTAAACCAGCAAGGGAGCACTGAAGGACCACCAGTTTGATGAGCCATGAAGTTCTGTCACCTCTCCCTTTCGTTATTCCTCATTTTTTGGCCTATTTGCTCCCCAAATCACAGTGCTCTGAAAGCCAGGACAACCTTTTAGCATCTTTTGAGACACCGGTGGAGAATGTTCAAGAACAGATGACTAAGATGGAAATGGAAGTGGGCTCAGTTCCCCTTACCCCTGCTCTTCACTGAGTCATACATGAATGTCAGGGCAGCGCCTGGCATTGCTCTTTAAACAGCTGGCAGTGCTCTGTAAGGGGCCAGTGAAAGGCTCTGAGATAAGTTACCTTGTCACAATCAAGCGTTTCTCAGTAACTCAGCACACAATAGATGGAGGCTTGATTAAACAGCAGACAAAGAACCAAAAGCCCATCTGGAATCAAGGTGGCTGTAAGCTCTGGGGGTTAAATGTAGTGTAGAGAACCAAAATAACACGGCACAGTAAACAGACCTGGTTCAATAAGGCTTTTATTATCTGCCTGTACCCCTGCACCTTTGCAGAATACACCTAAAGTGCCAGTTCAATTTTCCCACCCATCTTGCTTTGGTATGGAATCAGCGCTGGTCGAACCTCCTCCTTCAGGAACTTTGCCACCTGTTCAAGAAAGATGGGAAAAGGGAAAATTAGCAAAGAAAGGGTTCCCTTCTCCTCCCCCTTCAGACCTGCTTGTCTCAGTGGGGTCTGTCTTTCGCAGAGACACACACAGCAGTCTTGATACATCCAGGGTCAAAAATGTGAAGCCCACAAGGGAAGACAAGGAAGCCAAGGCAAACAAAAGAGAGAAAACGTGTCTGCTGTAGTAGCACAGGCGGAGGTACATAACACTCACACTCTCTGGCACACAAGGGGATGCAGGATTAAACAACACATTACATTACAACCTGTAGCACCCGTGGCCTCTTTCCACTACTTTACCTGCTGAGGAGCACGCCCAGTGAAGGAGGAGGGATCCAACAGGCTTTCAAGTTGTTTATGGATAGGGCTGAAGTATGGATCAGCGCGGACTCGGGCAATGAAGTCATTATCGCCCCCTTCCTGTTTCACAACAGCAGCTGCTTGCTGGGAGAGAACACGAATCTTCTCGTGGCAATCCTGTAGGAACAGGGGGAAGGGGAAGGGAGAAGAAAAGTCATTCCATTGCTACTGACAGCACACGTTCATCCTGCTAACTTGTGCAGGAGCGCGAAACATCAAAGCCTACAGCACCGGCCAGCGTACAAATGAGACGCAGCTTGGACGGCAGCGTCTCATATACCACCATATTAAAAGCAGATTTTCTTCATCCTTCCATGTCTGCCCTTCGAGGCTAAAACAGTCGGAATGACACATACGTTCTCTATTCAATTATACCACAAACTTACGACACTGGAATCCTTTACACTTCCTCAAACTCCCCAAATACTCCTAGGAGTCACTACAGGGTTTTTTTTTTCAGTTGTCCTATTCCCTACTTGTGTGATTTTTTCAAAGACAAACTATAGTAGCTGTTCCCAAAATATTCTATGAACTGTAATAAAGGAATTCCTTATTCACCACTAGTCATCCCCTGTACGGAACATCTTGGGAGCATAACAATTGTAAAACCTCTACAGGTTCGGAAAAGGGAAAAGAACCCGCCTGACTTAATGAGCAGTCAACCGTGGCTTACATAAGGATAGACTGAAGGGAACAAAACCTTACAAACCTGAGGGCCTTAAGACATTCCCTCCCAAACAACCCTCACATGACACTAAGACTGGCAAAATCCTTATAACAATTTTTCTCATACGCTTCCTAATCCCTCGATTCCCTGTGGAATCAATCTGTAGACCCAACTGCAGTCAGGGCCCACCTGCAAAACCAGATGCTGCTATGCTGGGCCTAAACCACAGTCATATGGTTGCATTTACAGCCATGTAAGAATCTCCTCACGTGTATTATCCTTGACCTATCCTCAGTTAGGAGGAAAATGATCTGTTCCTTGTTTCCTCCATACAAAGGCCATCTTGCTCCAGCACTGGCCTGCCTCAGGTGAATCCAGATCTGTCTTCTGGATGTTTAGGGGCGGGAGCTGTTCAGTGGCAGGGAAAGGAAGTGAGTTTCTGTGCTCTGAGGTGGGAAAGCATAGAAGATGTGCTGTTCTGGAGTTCCCAGCACATGAAAACAGAACATACTAATGTGAGTAAGAACAGATTTTATTAGTGTACTAAACTCTATAGAGTTGTAGTTAAACTGCAACAGAAAGAAAGCAGGCCAATACCAAACACAAATGAAATTCACTCTTCAATCTAACCAAAATAGAGAGGACTGTTTAGGTAAGTATGGGATACTTCAGAAAGAGAGCCAGCTGAAAAGATAATTAAACTTATCCATGTGATGTGATCCTTAATAAGTTTAGTTAGGAAGCTTATTGACTGACCCAGGGGGGGGGGGGGAAGCAAAGGGGATTTTTCCTGACTAACATCACAGGTGAGCTGCCAGAAGTGTTTCAGAGAACCAGAACCACATGTCCTACTCAAAGCTTCTATCCAACCCTTTCGCTATGACTATCCTGCAAGTTTAACTTCTGTCCCTGATGTGGAAATAATCATAGAAAGAACATTTACTACCTAAGGTAAGTGAAAATAAACCGTTTTATTAAGTTGTAAATTTGATTAACAGTTTTAAACTGAACTGCAAAATTAAATGATAAGGAAATATAATCTAATTGTGTCTGGATTTGTTTACTAAGGAAAACATTTAATTTCAATTTGCTTGAACACAGAGAACTGAATGAAGGACCACAAACAAAGTTAATAATAAAAAGCACTATACTGAATTAGGGAAGAGGGACGAATGAATGAATGTTTCAGAATGGTTCTTACTTGCTTTTTCGTTAACAGCACTGATTCATTCTTTTAATTTATAAGGTAGCCAACTGCCAACATGTTCCATTTAAAGAAGCCTGGTCTGTGTTCCAAGTTTCTTCAGACATTTACAAAAGGAAAACGCCTACTAGTATCTAATATAAAAATAGGTCTCCCTCTTCTCCAGCACAGACAGCCAGATTAGCTCAAACACACAGTGTTCCTAACAGAAAATATGGATATCCACAACTGCTCTCTCCTCAGAGAGCAGAGTCTGTTTTTGCAGCATCAGTGTAGTATTAATAACTCTGTGGGAGTAGGTGGAGAAGAAAGACAGGTGAGATGGTCAGGACAAGAGCCCATGTACTTTTGTTTCTCAGGAGTGAAATGAACAAAGGTATTTTTGACTGCATTTGTACCTGACGATTGCCCCCTGCTTTCACCATCGCCATGATTATATTCTCTGTGGCCATGAATGGCAGCTCCTGCCGGATCCTCCTCTCAATCACCTTAAACAAAACAAAAGGAACAGAAAAAAACCCAGCATTATAGCAATTCTGTAGATAATTGGGACTCCCCGTGAAGTTTTCCTCTCCCTTTGAATCTCCAGGATTGGTCAATGATGCAAAGATAATTTCTCTTTTTGAACTTAGCTATGGAAATCCAGGTATTGAAGCTGATACTACTTAGAATCTGTATCTTGTAAGGGACACTACTGTGGAAAAGGTGTACAACGAATTTTTTTTAACCTGTAGGTAAGTTACAGGGCTGTATGAGATCTGCCTTGACGGTATCTTTTGGTGGCAAGTTCTACAGATCTGTCATGTAGTTCAGGAAAAAAATATCCTTTTTGAGAAATTTTTAATTTACTACCTTTTGGCTTCAACAAGTACCCTTTCACGTCTGTTCTGCAAACAGTGAGAATATAGTGAGAATGGAGAGCAAAATTCAGAAACCGTTTGAACAGGTAAAGATGTAATCCTTTGAGTGGGAGGATTTTTATCCACTTTGGCATAGCTGCAGCATTATCAAGGATACAACACTGCACACATTATCTCCTGATTTACCTTTGGATATACCACAAGTCCCTCGGAGATATTCTGCAGTGTACTCAGAATGATGTCAGCTGTGAGGAAAGCCTCAGCCAGACACACGCGCCTATGAAACACACATACCCAGGGCCCCAGTTAGCAATAAAGGCCATGTTCCAGTCTACCTCAGATCCAGCTCTTCAGTTTCTGTAAATAATTCTGCAAATAGCATTACTGTGGCCCTCAAGCTGGAACTGTTCTCCTTATAGGTGCTTCTTGTTGCTTAAAGGTCACAACCAGGAAAGCTAAAGAGCGTCTTACAGCAGTAGCTCTCAAGCTGGGGAGATGGGAGGGTTTTGGTGTTTTTTTTTTTTTTTTTGGTCAGTAGAGAAAGGGAGAGAGAGGAAGAGAAAGGATAAAGGTGCACATAGAGCTCCAAGATAATTCAATGATTACACAGCTAGGAAGAGGGCAGCAATTTACAGAGCTAGCAAACACATGAGACTGTCTTCCCCTGTGTTCTGTGTGGCCCTGTCTACTGATCCTGCTCTCCAGGAGTAAGACACACTGGACTGTCACGCTGTGCCTGGTGGGGAACTTTCAAAGTGATGCATTTGGTGGGGGCTTCCTCCAAGAGACCAGCTCCTGGGTCAAAAAAGAGGCTCCTGACAGAAAGGAAGGGAAGGAGAGGAGTAGTGGGGACTGAGCTGTATCAAGCAAAAGTCTCCATGTCACAGTGCAGCAAATACAGCATCATCCATCTGTGACAGCAGTACCTGGCCCATTCTAAACTGTGATCTTTTAAAATATACTATTACTCAAACCTTGTGCTACATTTAAGGCCCCAATTCTATCATGCTGTCTTCAAAAGGACTTTGCTGTTTTGCAGGTTGATTGCACTCTCTCTGGCTTGCTCTCCTTTCAAAACACTGTAGCTTTAACAAGAAAAACCCAAGGCAGAGTTTTTAAATTGGATTACAAAGTGGACAAATGACCCTTTCTATTAGACGAGGTGAAAATAAAACTTGAAACATTCCAGTACATCTTTCAACACTTGGTAGCTATTGGGAAATAAACGTACTGTATCAACCAGTATCCAATTTCTTAAATTTACATTGTTTTCTGCTGCCTATGCAGCTCTCTTCTTAACAAGACTAGCAGCTGTGGAGTAAAGTCCTTCTGGGAAAAGATCTCCTATGCTTTCACGAAAATTTATGCAGACGTTATGTTTGTGGAGACATTTTAAAAATAACATTCTCATCAACCATGTGAACACACATCTATAGCCAAAACTGCTGTTGTTCATTTTTCTACAAGCTCTGTATCTTAGAAATAAGAAGATTTCTAAGATTCCAGGAGATCAAATTCAGCAACAAGAGACTACTTTGAAACTAAAACGTTTTAAAGGTAAATATGAGCCTTATGCAAATTTAGTACAAACTGGAAGACGGAAGCATTGAATTTAATTGCTATAATTTACTTGAAAATAATTATAGGTAAATTCTGCTCATCTCAAAATAGTCACAATGAAGAACCAGAAAACAAAGTTTGCTGAGCAATATCTAAAAGATCTGCACAGGTTTTCACGAAATATTACTTAAAAAAATGTTTGTGCTCTTTCTTTAGGATCTGATCTACTTCTTGCAAGGAACAACACTTTACAAAGACATGAAACCCAAGTTTCTTTAGATTATTTGGAGGGTTAAGGGATTACAGATAAAATGTTGAGTTATTCTTTAAGAAGTGGAGCAGGGTCAAAAAACGCATTCAAAACAGATAGGGAGGAAAATCTGAGAAATGTAAGAATTGCAGTAGTACGCTGTTGAAACACGAAGACTACGAGCGCAATTTATTACCATGGCTTCTGCATCCCTCCCTCTCTCTGCTGGTTTGCTTTGCAGAAGACTTGACATTAGAAAAACCTAACTGTTTTCATCTGATCTTAGAGAGGAAACCAGTTTGTAGCATCTAGATTCTACTGAGACTGCTTTTCATCAAGGTGGCAACTTGTGGTTTTAGTTTAAAAATAGTATTTTCTAAATACATCAAAAGACCTTCCTGCACAAGACCTTCTGAAATTGCTGCATTTCACAATCTAAACAAACCTGTTGGCACTGTCATCCAACGTTCGCTCAAACCACTGCACGGAGGCTGTTTGGAGGGGATCCAGCACCAGAGTCATCAGGTGTCGCGCCAGGCTGCAGCAGCGTTCTGAACGCATTGGATTCCTCTTGTAAGGCATAGCACTTGAACCTGTGAAAGGAGAAAGACTGATGGAAACAGGACACAGAAGTAGTGCATTCAGGAAGAAGAGATGAAGGTCCTCCCCCAGTTAAGACAAATGTGTCAGGAATCATGTTTTTGACTAAAGCCTCCAAGCATGATGATTTTCTAAGGACAAAATGGAATAAAGAAAATGACACCACCACACTTCCCCTTCAGATTAGAAACATCCAACTGTGGGGAGAAAAAAGAGTGAGAAGACATTTTGTAGTTCTGCAAAACAGAAGTACTACCACATAAAAAGAACAAATGGACTTAATTTTTAATGCAGTATTTAGCACCATCTCTCTAGGCTACCCATGGCAACTTTAGCTGTGTTCAAGACCCCATCTGCTCAATAACATTGTCCTTCAAAGTCAAATGCTTATACTGCTGCCTGTCCCTCTGGTGAATGGATATAAAAAACAACCATAGAACGTAGAATGACTCAAGAACCAAATGTGACTAAAGCTTAATTTGCTGATTCCATCCCATGCAATTATTTAGGGGTGCCTGCCTGAACTTTCTTCCAGACAAGAGCCAAAACTCTTACGTCGTCTTCTCCCCTTCTACCAATGTCAGAATCACATCATTGGTATTTTTCTGGCAAGGGTCCAGCCTAGTTTCATTGTTCCAAATTTGTCTGTTTATAAAGACTAAAATGCTGAGTCAAGCTGAAAACCTATAGCTCCAGTTAGCATCATGAGGAATGGAAAACGCTAAGTATTCCTCAGACCCAAGTTTTCCTCTGTGGGGAATATGTGACTGCTTCTGCTCTCCCCCCAAACACAAAGGAAGTGAAGAAATACAAATCTGATTTTAATTACTTGATTTCCAAAAACCTTTGGGTAAAGTGCATTTTTTTCCCTTTAAAAAGGACCCAAAATACTATCAATGTCAAACCTCAGTTAATTTAAAGCAACATCTGTCAGTGACATTTCTATGCTTAAAAGGCTGCACCAACGTAACATAAATGAAGGATACACACACCAGCCCAAGAAGTGTCTTCCACCCCTTACCGATCTGGTCTTTCTCAAAAGGCTCCTCTATCTCCTTCAGGTTGGCCAAAAGACGAATGTCAGTACAGATCTGGAAGAAACCCCAAGAAATTAACAAACAGAACCAAAATAACACTCACCAATATATACTCCTGTTAGTGTTCCTGGATAAGTGTTTGCATCTGTGTCTGACAAGTAAATTGGTGACCAATTTGGGGAAAAATTTGACAAAAAAAAAAAAGACACAGCAGTCATACTTCCTGGCCTAAAGATCCCAGTCAAGAAAGCATAAGGAAAAAAAGGTGTCTGCTGTATTAGAACAGAACAGGACTCCAAGAAGGACAAATGTTTGCAGGGAATGGAAGAGCTACTGGGAAGGAACAGTGAAAATGCATAACAAAATTACACAGTGGTTTGCAAACACAGATAATGTGTGCTCACTGAACCAGCCAGCCTACAAAACTAAACCAGAAGAAAATACCACAGATCACTTTTTGCCCAAGAGGAGGACGGAAGGAACACAAATAAATCAATGAAAAGAATCCACAAGGACAGAGCAAATAACACCATTATCAGAGAAACAATTAACTAGGAGCAAATGGTGAAATTTAAAAACTCGTACACCACTAGGAAAGACATTTAGTCTAATTGGATCAATTTAGCATAGATTAGACTAATATCTGGTGCGGGATTTGTTAACCTGTTTTAGAATCTGCTCAGTAAACTTGCTTTATTTGCCACTGGTCTTATGATCTTTGAGGTTCGATTATTAGGCACGTACCCAGTGGTGAATTTACATGATCACAAAGAGAACAACTGAACAAGGAACACCAATTAATAGTTCTCGAGAACAACGTTCTGCACCATGAGTACCTTCTCTTCAACATCTAAAATGTTTCCCCTTCTTCCCAATGTATACAAATAGGCCACTCACCTTGTGTATAGATGACCCAAGACTGGCTAGCACAGATAGGACTTCAATATCCACCTTGCGACTGTAGGTCTGCCCTGTGACCATATAAGCCCTAAATATAAGCACAGAAGTTGAGTCCTCCAGACAGATAGAACTGTACTGCAAGACTTTGAGCAAGGAGTGACACGGCTCTTAAAGTGGAGGGTTGTCATTCTGCCCTGACGAGAACAACTTTGGATTCAGGCTGTCAATTTTGGACAGCATGCAGATGGGAGAGAGAAAAGCAGAGGGAAAATGGACAGCCATGCTTTGACAAGAAGACAAGAAGAAGTGGCCTATTGAGGAGGTGAAGCTTCCTGTGGGAAGCTGCAACTAGGAATGGAAGATGGCAAAGGGAGAGAAGTCAACAGCAGCACAGATGTCAGTTTGGCAGCTAGGGGAATCTGGGTGAACGCAAACAGCAGGAGTCACACTTTGTTAACACCAAATTTAGGTGTCTAAGCATGCTTGTTACATACCGCTTAAATCCTGCCTTTGCAGTCACTAATCTGTCCAGCTCTTCAACCTCAGGGTGAAGAAAAAACCCAAACAAACAGAGCTCAGAATGCAACAACTCAGGAAGGTCAGCAACAGCAAAAAGAACCCTTTGCTTTTCTCATTTTACTGTCAACAAATGTTATAATTGCTGGGAAGCACCCTTCCTCCCCGCCCCCCGCCCAATTCTGCTCTTTTACACAGGACCTTGTCAGCGGGCCCCAGAGGGATGGCAGCGCCCTTGTGAATTTGGTGCCAGAATCTCCGTGTTCCCCCAAACAGAACAGCATTCCAGAGGGGATAACTCCAAAGACTGCAAGTCTACGCCCTGGGCTGTCTGACTTACTTTACTATGGTCTCCCTCAAAGAGCTGCAGGAAGCTGGCTTGAGTGCCAGTGGTGCCTTTTACACCTCGAAAGCGCAGGTCATCCCGAGCCCGCTCCAGGTTCTGCAGGTCCATGCACAAGTCCTGAATCCACAAGCAGCAGCGTTTCCCCACAGTGGTGAGCTGTGCAGGTCTGAAAACAACCAAGAACAGAATGCGACTCATTGACAATTTGCACAGTAACTCTGGAAGGACCACGCTTTGCCGCTGAGTCTACTGTTAAGACCTCCTTGCCGGTTGGTCTCTCTGACTCCTCTCAGCAGAAACTAAAAAGATGTGGCGTACGCAGAACAGCACATATATATCACCAGTGAATGGTACTGAAGATATGGTCATTATTTTAATGAATTAAATGTAATTATGTCAAGAGAAAACAGCAATTGTAGTTTCTGTAGGCATTAGGGGATTAAGAAATAAGTGAGAATGGGCATCTGAAGGTGTTTCAGGTGTTGAAGCCTTTGAATTTCTTAAAAGTGACCGGAGGCCTACTGGTCGGAATACCTAGAATGGGTTCCACAGCATTTTTCCAGAACTCCGTCAAGCGGAAAAGCCTCAGTCAGCGCAGGTAACGCGACTTTCTGGGCTCCCCCTTCCCCGGGCTCCCCGTTTCCTGCGCCTCTGCCGGCGGAGGGCGCCCCCTGGCGGCCCAGGCCGCGCCCCACCCGGGGCTCTGCAGGCAGGGGGAGAGAATCCAGAGGGCTGGGAGAAACGGGGGTGTGCATCTATCTCCCACCCTAATTCTGCTCGCTCGGGGCACAGGGGGCACCCTGGCTGACTTACAGCACTGGTGTTAATTTCTCAGTGCAGAAACATCCACGGGCACGTTGTGATTTTAAGTGATTCCTCTAAGGGACCGTTCCTTTTTGTTTATACAAACGCATTTCCTCGGCCTCTGGGAAACATCCAATAATTAGCAGTACCGTTAGCCAACGATTTTTTGTAAGACCTCCACCTTGAGATAAGTATCTGCAAGCTTCAACCGCACTGTCCCCCTGCAAATGCTTTGACGAGAAAATGGGGGTATTATGCAGAACCTAGAGGTTGAAATATTTCAAATTACCCACATGAACCCCAAAGACAATCACTACGCTATTTCAAAAAAGCGTATGCTCATGAACAAGGTGCTCCTGATTAAGCGCAGACATCTAAAGGAAGCATGAGATGCAGAAGCAGGGTGGGGTGATCCAGGAGGAATACAAAGAAACTGTCCAACACTGCAGGGATGGGGTTAGGAAAGCCAAAGCCCACCTGCAGTTCAATCTGATGTGGGATGTGAAAGGCGACAAGAAAGGCCTCTGCAGGTACGTCAGCGGCAAAAGGAAGGCTAGGAAAAACATGGACCTGTTCATAAATGGGGGCAGCAGAGGCCGTGCTGCCAAAGGACAGAGAAAAGGCCAAGGTATCAATGCCTTCTTCACCTCAGTCTTCACAACTTCGCCTGGCATACACTTCTTGAATACTCCTTTGTACTCTTTCCAAAAGCCAAGATAAAACAGCCCAGAGAATACTCCTCTGAAAAGCTGTAGACAAAGAAGGACCTAGGACCAAGAGCTGATTGAACTGACCCAAGTAACAGCAAGACAATTAATCAGAGACCTGACCTGGTGCTTCCATTCTCCCTTGGGAGAAATTTTCAAGTGTCAGACATGTCTGACACAACCAGTGCTTCACGTCCCTTCTGGTGTTCCATATCACTGGGGTAGAAGATCCAGGCTTACCTCAAGGTGTATAGTTTAATGCCTCTGAAAGCAAACTGTCTTCATGAAGCAGCAGATTAATCTACCCCTACAATAGACCTATCCAGATCTCGTTGTCCTTTGACTCAGCAGTCTGCCTAAAAATATTCTATTCTCCTATCCTACCCTATCCCTATCCCTATTCTATTCTAATCCTACCCTATCCTATCCTTATTCTACTCTATTCTATGTCAGAAATGCTGCAACAAGAAGTATAAGTTTCCAAGAGACAGAAAACTGTATCGTCCTGTTAAACAGAAGAAATTCTTCCTGATTCTTTCCAGGGATCCACATAGGGATGTATGAAAACTGACAGATCCTGAATCATCACTTCAGAAGAAAGTTTCAGCAACAGTGACAGACAGCATAGCTGTAGTAACAAGCAGCCAGTAACAAACCTTTAAGCTGAAGCTGAAACTAACTTAACTGACAGAAAAACAAACGTAAAGAAACTGTGATGGGAAGACAGGCTCACTGCAATTCCCAGCCATGCTTTTCGAAACAGCCCAGAATTTACACATCTATGTTCGCCAGGAAGTCGTTCCTTATGAAGCTGTGTTAAAACAACTGCTGACAGCTAGTCAAAGCAACAGTTAAATTTCCTGAGACAAGGCTGGAGTCAAGCACATACTCCCTTCTCTGAACCACACACGATGTCTTAATGATGTGCAGCCATACCACCTGCCACTGGGCAGAAGTGGGAAAAAGAAGGATGAAAGAAAGCAGTAGCAGGTAATTTAACCAAAGTGCAGCTGACAAAATGCAAGCAAAGACTGATGGCTACTTACTGGTAGTGAGTGAAGCCCAAAGTAGGCAGGTCAGCGTACTTCTCAGCAAAGTCGGCCAGCCGGCTGATCACCCTTGCGAGCTGGTGGATGCAGGAAGGATAGAAAAGAGGTGGAATGAGAGAAAAAAAAAAAAAAAAAAAGCCACAGCAGAAGGTAGCTTGCTTAAGCACAACACCACTGTGAGAAAAAGGGAAGGGAAACTGCTGTGTGCACTCCTTGAATACCCTCCTCTAACTGTACAATATGGCGTGTTCCATTTTTTCAGGGCATGCGCATTATTTTTGCTTGCTGTAGAACTCAAGCAAGAGATGATTAAAAGTGGTTGGACTTCAGCTCAAACTAGTCTAGTCCTCGTGCCCAACCCAATTCTGCAGTTGGTTTTATCCTGGAACCAGTCAGAAATAAAGCTGCTTGGGGTATAACTGACACTCCCATTATATTTGACCTCAGGAAATCGTATTATATAGCTTCTTGAGTGCTGAATATAGGAATATATTTAAGGGGATGCCTAAGCCGACCCTGAAAGCAATAGTTGTTTTTGAAACTAGTACCTGTGGCACAGATAAACAAGGAGATGCTTATAATTCCCATGGTGAGCAAAGAAGCTTTGGGGAAAGACTTGAGAAGGGAAAGGAAGATAACTGTTCACTTTCTTGAGAATAACTCAATCAGACAGCTCCTCCTAGCTTCCCAGCAAGGCCTAGGAAAATCCAAGTTAAACACAGGCTATTCATAGGACATCAGCGCTGCCCACTTCTGAGACACTGTGCACAACCGCCTTCTCACCTTGGGTAGCAGCAGGTTAAACCCATCACGGAGGACAATCAGATCCTGAAAGAAGCAAAGAAAGGAAATTTGGGCCATGTCAAAGGACCAGACATAATGACTTCTCTCAGAGAGGACAGAGATAATTAAAATACACTTTGTCCACTCAAAAGTCTCTTATAATGAAAGCTCTGCCTTTCTTCTTGTACCAGAACTTGCAGTGAACCTGCTTGTGACAAAAACGCTGGATCCATCATTGCTCCTTTTATAGTATCCACAGAAAGTCATTCTGGGCAGTAGAAGACCCATTTCCACTGACCGGGCATGCATTATTATTTTGGGATACTCCTGATGCCCATGGAATGACAAGACTAAATCATTCAACCCAAGCGGAAAATGCTGGCACAGTAGGTTAAAGACCACAGGAAAGTAAGTGGACTGATCAGGCAGCAGTCATCTTTGCTCCTTCTTTTGAGGCTGAGGTACAGCAAGGTGCCAGGTGCCACAAGGAAGGTGGTATTACCTAAAAGCCAAACAGGCTTGCAACGGAGTAGGGTAAAAATAATCATGCAGCAGCTTCTTGTGTGACAAAAGCGGACGGGAAGTTGCAATGACTGGGACACAGGGGAACAGCAATACATACTGAGAAATTGAGACTTAAGTTTGCACTCAGTTTTAGACAGGTTTTTCACAAACATTTTACAGTTCTGTAGAATAGTGGTACTTCCTTTTTCACCTAACACATTTATCCATTCTCTTGGCCACTGAAAAGCTTTATTTACCCTGAATTAATACAGGGATTCCAAGCAGCGGTTGAAAGTTCACGGGCTACGTATATCAAAAGTGGCCTTGTTCTGAAGTCAGTGAACTCTTGTCCCATTGGCATAACGGACAGCTCACAGGTTTCTGCATATGTCTGCAACTCATGATCTCTTATCTTCTTAAATATTTAACATGCAAGCGGAGTTGCATTAAAATGTCTGAAAAATCTGTTTATATGATTTTATAAAGAAAAGTTACTAAAGATCTATCAAGTAAGCAACTGTAGCTTTGTTTCGCCAGCTCTGCGGGCAGGAAACCAAAAATATTATATTACCGTATTATCCCCTACATAACAGGAAGTTGCTCCAAGGTGAATGATGGCGGCAGCTTTTGGACAGCAGTGGGCAAAGGTGTGAACGTGGGCCATCACATCGTGACGCAGCTTCTTCTCTTCCTCCGCTGCCATCTTAAAGTCAATGTTGTCCAGATTTGCTTCCATCTCCTGTATCTGCTCATCTGTGATAGGAAGCCCAAGTGACTGCAAGGGGAAAAGAACTTTCTATTTCTTTTTGTCTTTAAGAGACGACCCAAACTGAGAGAGAAGCTGTTTAGATAATTTACTCCCATGTGACATCTCATGGAAGCATGACAATATGGCAAAATCAAAAGCTGTAACAGCAAATGCTTTCATTCTAGGGTTCTCCAACCTTTTCCAATAGGACAGGACAGTGTTCATGCTTAGCTGTTCCTCTTGGGCTTCATACTTCCCTCAATCACGTAACATCCCTGTGACAGCTACAAAAATTAGACATGTGGGGAAAAGTGATAGAAAAATAGTATAGCTTTAACTTATTTTCATGAAATTCACCTTTTGGGTAAAGAACAATCCAGCTACCATGTGCCAGGAAGAACTCTTTGGACCACAACTAGACCTACAAAACTGTAAACAGCAGGCTATGGAAAGGTACACGTTTGTACCTTTCCAAAAGTCCTGAAGTACTTCCATCTCAGTCTGAATCAGGAAGCTTGGGAAATCAGTTACTTGGTCTGGAAGCAAGAGATAAACGCTCTTAGTTCACGTTCAAAAATATTTGCTAAACTTTTTCAGCAAGCTGACTTAAAAACAGAGTATCAAACCACAGAATTATACAGTGGTATAACTCTTGCACAGCCCTAAATTTGCACAAGGTAACTAAGCTGAGAAAAATGTCTTTTCCTGATACTGAGAATTTAAAAGTCTCGCAATGAACTTGGCATTACTGCCTTTTCCAAATTAAAATGCTATTGTCTTGTGCATTAGTAATTAGAAGTCACCAGCCAGGAAGCTTCAAGGACACAAAGTGTTTCAAAAGCTGGTTCTGTTCAGAATCAAACTGACTGAAAAAATGTTTGGCAGATGCAGAATCTGGAACTAGAGAGGACAGCAAGTGAAGCAGATGTGTCTTCAAGGTCCTCATCAGATAATTCGTACCCACGCAACTTAAAATGATGCTGCAAGTGTATATACAACCACGAGTGTCCAGATAAATGAGGAAAAGTACCTGGCCCCAGACTGCTGTCTTTGAGGTGTACTGATGCAGACCATAACTGCCTGAGATCACACAGGCAACTCAGTGGGCAATACACTCTCGTGCCAAGGTTAAAATCTCATGCCTTGTCCACACATCCATGATCTGTTGGGAAAAGTTGACCACAGTATGCAGTCACTGAGAGCCACACAGAGAGGAAAGAAATAAACCCCAAGAAAAGGGACTACTTGTCATAGGAATACATGCAAAGTAGGGTAATGCCAAGGCAAATGCTCTTCTCATGCGTCCACAAACATCATGTGAGGCCTCTTCCCTATGAGTTTTTGCTGATATTGACAGTACCTCAGGAGGAAAGCAATCAAATGTCCTTCAAACCTGTCTACCTAAGAAAGCTAAGTAGGAAGACTACCTGAGAGAGAACACAGTGTTTTCTCCAAGGCACTACAGGTCAGTGATGCACTCTCCGGGACTCTGCTTTTAAGGTGTCATTCTTCCGAGGCTGTTTCAGTACTTTGTTGTGCCACTGTAACTACTGTGACAGCCCACTTGTGCCTATTCCTAAAGGGCAGAGCAGAGCAGGCAGATGACATGGAACGTCTCCTGCAAACAGAGTGAGCTGCTCATCTAATAAAGAACATATGATAGAAAAATAATGAAACTTAAATTGGATTAAAAAAATAGATTGAGGGCTACTACAGGCTCTTGTAAAAGAAAAAACATTCAGATTCCACACATGCAAAACATTTTATCAGTCAGTTTGATGATGCAGGATGTCAAAACTACTTCTGTTAGAAGGAAGCGTTCAATGAAATTTATACTTCTCTTTCAAATAACATATTGTTTAGGTCAAGAGATCAAGATTAAAAAAAAAGAATGAGGTCTTAATAGAGGTGTCATAATACAAATTAATTTTTGTTCAAAAACTAAACTAGAGCTTTGAGATAGGTATGAACTCACATGCTTCAGCTCTTAAACCAAACTTTAATGACTGACAGTTGAAAAGAGGATTTGTTTAAGGAGCTCTCTCTTACTAATCACACATTTTACTGAGTCTCCTCTTTCAATCACCATGTTGTCCAATTGTCTGCCATAAGGAACAAAATACAAACTGTAGATTTTCTAATTCAGTTTCCAGTGAAATAATTTTTCAGTTGGACTATGCAAAAATGTCGCCCGTAAGTAGGGTGAACATGGAAGCATTTCCCTAGCCCTGTACTTCACCTAAAACTTTCTCACTAAACTGCATGTCCCCTCTTTTACTACTTCCCAGCAACTTTTAGAAAAGCTATGGTTAGATCTAATATTCTGATTTACTGCAAAGTAGCCTTCTAGAATGACTGGAGAGACTTGAAAGACAGTGAGGATAGCGAGTACTAATAGAGTAAATATTGCCCACAGTTAATTCACTACTTTTTTTTTAATGTACCCCAAAAGAAATATTATGGATCCTCAGTAAGGAAAACTGAGGGAACTGCTTATATCTATAACTAACTGATCACTGACAGAGCTAACAGGTGCTGAAAGTAGCTGACTCTTCCTCTTTCAGTGCAGAGCTGACATTAGAAAATAAACTCGTTTGGAATGAGGAGACAGATAAAAATAGTAGTCCCCCTCTTCCTACTACGAAGAAAGCGCTCAAGAAATTGCAAGATCTGTCTCTGCTTTCTGGGAACGAAACACTACGGTGAAAATTGGAGGGAAAGCAAGGGTCAAGAGACAGGGGAACCCCAAGTTCAGGGCTCAGGAGCAGAAACCTAGAAGTCTCGCTGGTTCTTTCAGCAGCTTGCTTTCTTCTGTTGGGCAAGTCATGCGTTTTGTTCTCTAACAGCGGAAAAGGTGACGATTATCTGCTGGAATTAATACGACAGGGTTTAAATTGTCATGCGTTGAACATACAAAGCTCCTTAAATGTGCACCCTTGGTATGACGTTTCCCATACTTGATGAGATTTGCAGTCTGCTCCCTCCAGCATCTCAACTGTGACAACACCTAGCACGTGGTCTTTCAGAACGCGGTTCCTATTTAACACAGCTGTATAATTACATCTTCAGCTTCTAAAACATCACGTTTGGTGCAGCGTACTATTGATGAGGCCGCTGTAGTGGTAAGATCCTTGAACAGAGAAGGAACACATTAATGACACTGTGCGCTGCTTGTTCCTTCTCCAGCACCGTGCTTCTCTGCCCTTAGGCTAATAGTAACAGCCAGACCTTGCGCTTGGATCGCTTCCTAACTTCAGTACTTCGAAAATGGGAACGGAAGGTTTGTGCACAAACCAAACAGGCAGCTGCTGAGTCTGAAAGCTATCCTGTCAGAAAGCAGCATTTTGGTTGTGGGTTTTTTTCCCCCCTCTGCGAACATATCACAGCATTTTCACTGTCAAAAACCTGCTATGAGCCTTCCTCTCAGGATATACCAACACTCACAAGGAATCAAGTTAGTCCACCTTAAAAAGTGACTGTCTCTCAGCTACGTGGCAATAATTAGCTGTACCCATACCCCTCATTAGGGCCAAATTCAAAGTAAGAAGGTTTAGCTTAAGCCACATTTCAAAAATGTTAACTCCATAGACTCTACTAACACAACAGCTTGCGATCATAAGGACATACTCTCAGTCGCTGCTTCCTCATGGCTGAACTGATACCAATCTTTTGCGCGATCAGGATTTTTGTGTGGTGCTCGGCCTGTCAGAAAGGCGATAAGCATTTCTGGGCTAAGTGTTCTGCTCACTTTGGCCAAAAGTAGACTTATCTCAGAAACATGGGCTATCTAAAAACAACTGGTTGAAGAGGAGTGGGGTGGTCCGAGCTGGCACAGACCGGCAGCAATCTGATTGAACAAGAGAGCAGGTCTCATCAGTCACACCCCCTGAAAAGCAAACAGCCAGGCACTAGAGAAGGTCACTAATGTTTGCTCAGAAGGCAACCCCCACATGCGCAACACCCCCAAAAAACGCTTAGCGAAGCTTTTACCAAACTAATGTCACAGAGAAGGCAAAAGGGCAAGGAGGAGGGTATGAGACCAGAAGAGGCGATTTGCTGAGGGATGACAGGTACGCTGAGCATGGCGTACGCAGGGTTGTGTAAAACTGGGCTTGCACGTCCCCC